AACTATCATCATTATCTGCTATCGTTTCGTAAAACATTAAAAAAGATAAAAAAAATACAACAATAAACGAATGCCGAAATTTGCTTATGGGCCTTATCGCATCTGCACTGTAAGAGAGAGAGAGTGAGAGAGCGAGAAGAAATACAAAGAAAATAATATACCTACTCTTAAGACCGTAATGCTGATATAATAACTATAATTTTCGAATACGTTAAGTGCTGTTTGTGTTAGGGTGTGCCCAATGACTATTTTTAAGCTTGCAAGATTTTCAAACAAATTACTACACACACACACACAATTATTATGTTTTTGGAAAAATAGGTTTAACCACACGTTAGTGACAAAGCCGATTCCGAATACAAACCAACAAAATATAAATAGTACACAAGAAAGTTACTTTTTTTTTATCGAAGCAGTGATTATGATTAGTAAGGGATGTATATTCAACCGAATGTGTAAACACAAGTAACGGCTCGGGCCTTAAAAAGATTAACCCCGGGCTTGTGACTTTTTGGAACATAGCAGCAAATTATTTTTTTTTTAATGATAAATATAAACATAATTTTCTCTCCTTCTCGCCTCTAGCCAAACACTCCAACTATAATTGTGTATGATAACTTTTTTTTTTTAAAAGGATCCCCTGCTTAGTGGTGGTTAATTTGTGTGTGAGCGAACATAGTATTTGTTTGGTCGCAGTGTGCGATTTTAGCCGCACGACAAAGTAAAAATTACATCCAAAAAGAGTTAATCCAACTTAACCGACGGCGGTGCTGTGACATCACCCAACTGGGCCCGTGTCGGTGTTATACTTGATAATTTATTGGACTTGTCAGTCGAGCGAACCGTGTGTGACCTTATCGGAGAAGTTCGAAGGATGCGCGTGACGAGACGACAGTGAAAGCGCATCACGACCAAACGACCACGGCAGCACACAGCCGTTAAACTTGTCTCCTCTGACCGCTCGTGTACGGTGTGCGACCAGTAAATTGGGTTGGCACGGCGAGTGTTTGCTTTTAATATAACATTGTTTCAACGGCAAACAAAAATTATGCGAATGCAAAAAAAAAAACAAATATAATAAAAACACTTGGAAAAAAAAACACACACACAACGGGGACGGGTAGGTCACGGGTATCTTACTGTCTTCAGTTATTTTATCCGGTATAAATGTATAAATACATAAAGATGTCAAAAATCAAATGGCGGTCATAGGCATGTAAGAACTATGAAGATAAAAAACGAAAAAATAATTTAACCCTAATCAAATACCGTACAGTTTCTTCAATATGTAATGTTTCAAGTACTATGAGTTATTCAGTTCTGCATTAAAAACCAAAACTTGAACAATGTCTAACCTATAGCATAACGGTATATTATGAGATAATTCGGCTCCATAAAGATGTCGAGAGCGAAAAATAATAAACCGAAGCAGCGCCGAGTTCGGGGGCGGTCTTAAGTTTGAAGGTAAGTATTGGATAATATTGATAAATCAGCCAATTTATTAATAAAAAAAACCTTCAAAGAAAGTCTGTGGCTAATGCTTTAAGAGAGAGAGAGAGAGAGAGAGAGAGAGAGGGAATATAATAAATAATAATAAAAAAATGACAAATAAAAAACGTCGAATCGATAATTTTCGATAGAGTTATATATAACGCGTTTTGGCGGTAACAAGAGAATGTAAAAATATTAGTCTTAAACAAGAAATTATCAATATCTTATTTGTACAGTGAAAAAGTTCCAACAATGAGCTAACGTTAAAGTTGTTTTACCATAATTTTACCAAGAACCTTACGGCGAGTGGCCAAACGGTTTAAATAATAATAATTATTCTTACAATAAAGTTTTTTTATAGTAATTTTTTTATACCAGCAGGTGTAAATAGGTAAATAATATTATGCTCGACAAAGCCAAAAGTCAAACAAAAGATAATCATTAACGGTCCCACGTCACTTGACGGGTTTGTACTAAACAATAAGGTAATTATTTATTTTACACAGATTTCGGTATGGGTAGGTCAAAACCTTATATAAACTGCATTTTTTTTAATGTTTTTTAGACAGCGGAATAATTACAAAAATGTGTTGATCCATTTTGGGTTTAATCCGTTTCTAATGAATGTTTAACACTAATTTGTTTCATTTTAACAAACTTCATAAGAGCTACGCGAAAATGTGAGATAGGCCTCTTCGGGTATCAAACACATATCCTAACGGACGGTTTTGTATAGGACCACGCAAGGCGTGCACTACAGTGTCGGCTAACCAAACCAAGACGGACAAACCGTTTGTGGTTGTTAGGGAGATCGATTTCACCTGGCTTCCCGGAATTTCTTCCTGGGTAATGTATTGGTCGAGGTCGCAAAACGACAAGATAATCTCCCCCGAGTGCAATGGTAAACTTTGAATCGCATAATCAAACTGAAAATCGCAACGACAATATATTATATTGTATAGTATACTTTTTAGTTGGGAATTCCAATTGTACTCGACGATATAATATAGTAAATTGCGTTGTCGGGTAAATAAAAAAAAAGTTTTTCCACCCGTTATCAGAGCAGCTAGTACGGCATAATTATTGCTTTTCTATTTCAAGTGTAAAGAATGATTTTTATATTTTTAAATAATTTATAAAAACTAAAAAAAATGAATTACAAAGGCGGCAAACGGAGGAGTACACATTGAACGGAACTCTTTTTTTATAAATCCTGCCAATACCCGTTTTTATTATAAAATAAAAAAATTATAGGTATAGCGCTTATTCGATTTTGGAAAAAGTAAATTATCGACGCCCGAAAGCGCAAGTTCTGAACAGGACTTATACGATTTTATGGGACAAATAAAAAAATAACCCACATGTATTCTTTTTAGTATCCTGCGCACAGACCGACCGGAGAAAAATACAAATAATAGGTACCTACTATAAAATAAATGTCAATACCATTGGAGTGAGGGATAAAACACTTTTTTTTCAGTAATTGAAACGCGGAACCGTATAATTTATTTTTATGATTTCCAAGAAAAACAATTTGCCAGCAACCGCATGGTTAATGTGATGTAATAAAATTTCATATAATTTAACGACTTTTACAAAATCATACCCGAACAACCGTATTGTCCGATAAGATTTTTAACGATTACATCCAAGGCCGGGTCGGGTTAACGACAAATGATTTGCACAGACTTCGTTAAGTCGAATGGAATATTATGTTGAGTTAAATCTGTCCAACGGAAATCCGTCAAATGCGCGCTTACGCCAAAAAGTTCCTATTCGATAAGCACTTGTTATTAGCACATTGCATCAACATGCTTCTTAAGATGATTAAAATAATTTTCTAGAGGTCTTACGGACATCTTTTAACGAATTTCCGATTAAAATTTCTAAGAAACGGGACATTTTTTTACCGCATTGGCTATTTACTCTTTTCCGAATAATAATAGGTAAACAAAAAGGTAAAGATTTTTAATTACAAATAATCATCAACAGTTCATCAACTACCACGTCAGAGGCTAAGATGAAAACAAATGCATTATGAACATATAAAAGCAGAAATGACACACGATTAGCATGAACCGTGTAATTTAACGAATTCGCAACTAAACTTTTTAAAATTGTTTTTTTTTAAACAGCTTTTACTAATTAGTTACATTTGTTTTGTATGTTTTTACAAAGAAATACGATATGACGTGTTTAATTCTACATTTATATTAAATATTTAAACTGAAAACTGAAAAACGGAGGTCGTTAAGTTATAATTAGATGAGAGAAAATGTCGGCGTCAAATGACATTTCTACCGGATATAAATGTTTAATTATGGCACTCAATACATTAGGCTATCGATTTCGCGGGTAGCGCACCCGCGATAGACTGATAACTATATTATATTATAATATAATATAATCTAAAGTCTCTTCTAATTACAAAACGGTCGAAGGAAAAAAAAAAACCCAGGGGCCTTTCGCTCGGGTGTTTTCGAATGGAAAACAACAACATTAAGGAACCACCGGCGTACATGCCCGGACGGACATTACTTCCACGTCGGCACATATACTTAAAACAAATAGGATATAATATGATATACATATATATATAATAATTTCCTCGGTTATTTCGGAGCTATTTAATTTGTGCGAGGCGCCGTGAATGTTTTATACCGAAGGCGTGTGTGTGTGTGTGTGTGTGTGTGGTGTTTTGGGTATAGATAAAAATACATTGCCAACAATGTTAATAAGTTTGCACGGTCGTTGGAACCGAAAGTTTCCCGACATTTCTCCAGGGACCGACGGCAACGGGACCGGGTAAGGCGACGTTTCTAAAAAAAAAACGGCTTTAAGTGATTTTCGGCCGGGTATAGGTATACACGACCGAATCGACCACCGTGTTGGTGGAGAGCTCGTCGAACCAAAGTGTCGCCCCGCAATTATTGCTGTTTTAACGTTATGCATGGGAAATATTAAAACTTTTGCTTGGCCTGGTTTTAATTCCGTGCGTGCGAAACCCGCTGCCTTATCGATACAAACGTGTGTCAAAGAGCCGAGCACTTAAACGTGACTTAAGTATTATGTTTCCCATCGAAACGCCACACAGTTTTTCAAACTAAAAGTTTCTCCCACCCCTCCGGCTACACGGTGTCACGTCCGGTGTATCCCGGAATACCTAAACTACACCGTAGACACTTTGTATTGGTTTTTTTTAGATAGTTTAAATAAATCTCATATTGTTTGGCTCTCCGTCCCCACACACACACACACACGTTAGCGCCAGAAGATCCTCGATTTTCAAACGGTTCTTAGTCTTATGATTTTAGTGAACTTTTACTTTTCAAAGTAAAAAAAATGTAAAAATTCCAGGTTGTTTTGTAAAGACTATAACGAAGCTCTTGCTATAGGTACCTCAGTTCGGTCAATGACCACGGTTATCTAGCGAATGGTTCCGGTTTGCGGTGGACCAATAATATATCTAACCCGGATTTAAATTTTACATGCAATATACGATCACTCACCATTCGTCCCTTGGATCCGGTAACTTCCTGTGCACTGATATGAGATCGCTGGCGTACTGGTTGAACGCGTTCTTCGTCCATCCTTCGCTCACCAATTGTTTGACGTCATCCGTCAGGTTGGCCGGCAACACGACGGGACGGCCCATTTCGCCGTACAGCTGTTGACCCTTGCCGTTGCCGCCGTTCGGTTGCGGCAGCACGCCCTCGCCGGACAGCAGTACGCCGGACGCGCCGATGGCCGCGGCGGCGGCGGATCGTTTGGACGACGTGCGCAACGCTTGCTGCGCCGGCGGCTGTTCCCTGTTCTCGACGCCACCCTCCAGCGGGAACTCTTCTTCCAGCAGCCGGTTGTCTTCGGCCTCGTCGGCCGCGTCCGACATCAAGCGCTGCGCCGACGGCGGCTGGTACAGGGACGCCGCCGCCGCCGCCTCGTTGGACGCCGGCGAGATACGCCTGTCCTCCATGAACATCAGCACGGTGATGGTCATCCAGACGGTGCAGCCGAGCACGAGGCCCTTGAGCAGCGCCGACTTGCGACGGTAGAAATACGACGCGAGTTTCATGTTCGCCGCCTGTTCAGGCGTTCACGGTTCCGGTCAGCGGCGATCGAGTGTGCACAACACACCAGCAGTTAGGTTAGGTGCGAGCGTTGGCGACGACGGCAAACGCTTGTTCCCGCATGTCTGATCTGTAAACAAAAATTACACTATTTACAAATAACGAACGATTCCAAAAGGAACAATGTACATATATTTACATGATTGAAACATGCGGGCTACTCAAGAGTGGAAACAAAAAACAATGATAACATGTTAAGTAGAAAAACACAAAAATCTTTTGTATACTACCCGACAAAGACTCTATCCGTTAACTTAAACCAAAATATCTTATCTTAATTGAAAATATCAAAAATTAAAAAATTCTATGTAGTTGTAATTACCCGTAAAGACTACTTGATAATCTATCAATAAAGGTACAGTAAATTTTTGAATTAAGTTTTTAAAAAAAATTCCCTCTAAATAAATCCAATAATAACAAAACAACGACTAACAAATAAAGATTAAACATAATTACATAACAAACATTTGAAATACGTTAAAGGGTTAATGCAGGTATGTTTAGACGAGTTGATTTGTCTCGATCCTTGAAATACCTTCACCTATACCTATATTCTTTAATGAATTATGAAAACATTCAAAGAAGATTGGACATTTTCAATGTTGTGTCAATCCGAACACCATATAAATAACCGATGTCACGTCTAGTCATTTCAGTGAACAAAAAGAATCTGTTAAGGTTTTAAACACAAAACTTTCGACCCGTGACTACCAAATGAACAAAAGTTTTTTTTTATAATATTTTCTAAAAAAATAATAAACATTTCGCTTCTTTTTTAGTGGCTTTCGTTAATTTTTTCCAAATCTTGACAATTTTAAAAAGAAGAAAATATCACTATACTAACACCGCGGCGGTCTTGGATAATAGTTTGCCCCACAATACTATGTTCAGAAACGTTTGCTCGATTCGGAATTCGGTCGGTTACATATTGAATACTTGTCAATCACATCCTCCCATTTGTTGTCTATACATTTCTCGTGGCTGTTTCATTAGACAAAATTTTAACGGTCGGCCTAAACGCATTTTCAAGTTTAACGGCACCGAAACGGGATTGAACTTTTTCGGGAAAACTCTTGCTTATATTTTCATACACGGTTAGGTTAGCAAGCCACGTCGCAGTTCTCGTGTGCATAGTGCCGTTGAGACGAATGCTAATTGTTTAATGGCCGAGATAAGTTTATGTATTTCACTGGTGGCCGGTATAGCTTTTACGGTCATGCAACAACTGGGTTTGAACAATTTTTTTACTATTCTATAACATATTAGCACGGACCTCGCGTCCAAAGTTTATGATGTATTTTTACTACCGCGGTACATCGGCTGGAGGAAATGTATTACTCTTCAGGTACGGTTTACCTGGTTATTCTATAAAACAAACGTGTCGTTCCACGCGACATAAAAGTGTTTTCCTGTTGGGTTAGATTAGCCGCCGTCGGATGACTGTGTACTTTTGCACGGTCAACGGAAATCGCTCATCAGATTGCCACACACTAAGACTGGACGGTTTTTCTCCGTTCGGTGTTCGTCATTAAGACGGGTTTGCAGTGATCTATACAGTGGATTACATCACACAGACCGGCGGCAACAAAACGACAGCGCACGGTGACCGGACAACAAATTAAAGCTGTCTAATCCGCGGCCACGTCAACGTTATCTAACGAGTTCAGAGGAGAGTCTGGTGAAGCTAGCGAATCCTTTTTACAGACGGCCAGGTTCTCGACAAGTAAAGGGTGTCTCTCAAAAAGAACGCCGGATTTAAATCTGCTATAAATTAAATTTAGCACCTTAAGACTGCGTGCATATTATGACAAACGTTTCCATAAAAACAATTGGATTTAGTGAATTACGGATATCGTCTTAATAGATCTCGCCGTTTCCGACCCGCGTTCAACGTTATCCAGAGAGCACCGGCTAATCTAACCACTATTTACATCAGCTACTACTATACGCGTGGTCCATTGTACTTAGCACGGTCATTTTGGGCGGTTACTCGAAAAAACAATCAAACCGCACAACGGCATCCGACCTTTGCTCTGGCGGCCGGAAAATCAAAATCTCAGGGGAGGGTGCGGGCATTGTGTTTCGATTGATCGCAGAAGCGGCAGCACGTCGCCCGTAGGAAGTCGGAAGTCTATTTGGTAGCCTCGCGCCCTTTCACACACACACACACACACACATTCTTCTACTTATTGTTGTTGTTGTTATTATTGTATTTTAAAAAGCCGACGGATGCGCTCAGCCGACATTGTATCTCTCACGTATGACTTTGGGCACGCACGATAACGGAAACGGCGTATTCCGAGATTGCCGGCCGCGGTCTTCGCGGGTAGCACACACACACACAGTGGCGCTATACACCAACACGGTTGTGCGCTTTTGTCTCGGTCAAATAAATTGCCAGCGTCGCGTTAATATCCAATTCAAACAAACGCGCCGGGCCGAACCGAACGGAAACGCCGTACGCAGTATATTTTATCAACCCGGAAGTCGGCCGTTTTATTCCGGTGTGTGTGTGTGTGTGGTGGTCCGCAAAGGGTCGGTCGGATCAAAAGAGTCGTCGGTCTCGCGTAAAGCATTTGCCAACAAGACGCCGGTATAATGCGTGTAATAAACTTTTGGGCGAGGCGAGGCGCGACCTTTGGCCTTTGCCGCCGCCGTTGTTGTTTTAGCCCGACGGGGCCAGACGGTGTTAATTATTGTATATTGTATACAAGCCATACATTGCTGCCTTCTATCGTCCAGAGAGCTTGCTTACACACGATGATATCATATTCCGCCACGGTTAAGAGTCAATATTCTTCTTCGACAATACTCTTAATTCTCGAAATAGTTTCATGCGCGCAACAGAATAACTGCATGAATCTCCACAAAAGACAGACTACAAAGATGGCAAGACGAGCTGCAACCAGAAGAACCAATCCCCAGCCTCTCACTAACTCCCGCCGGATGAGATCTTACCACGCCACTGGGGGAATCCCCAAATAGATTGAGAGCAGGACGGGTGAGGACCAAATCTATCATAGTAAAATGGGGCTTTACTGAACAAGGCGAAGCGTGTAAAAGTGAAAAACGACAGACCGATGAACACCTTACGGCTTACATATACCATACTGGCAAACACGAGTACTCTAGAGCTATATAAGGCCCCTGGATACCGACCATTTTTAAGGAGTTTTATAAAGGCAATATTTAAGAGTAAAGTGGTTTTAATAAATTTCGAAAATGTCAATTAATTAACCGGTTAATTTCTATAAACTTCGTGGTATTATTTTTAATTTAAATTATTTTGTCTACGAGTAAAAGCCATTTTAGTCAATATAATAGTACCTACATTTTTCGTCCATCGCACAGGCTGAACCAGTGGTGGTCCGATAAGTAATCTGAAAACATATTTTAATTCGTTATGTATAGTTTACTTGAGATCGGTCAGCGTACTTTTTTGATATCTTATTTCTTTTACGCATAAAACACGTTTGAACACATTTTATAAAATTTGGAAAGGGTTGAAATTAAAAAATTAAAAAAAAATACTCTGACCGATCTCAAGTAAACTTCATGACGAATTCATATCTGTTTTTAGATTGCTTATCGGATCATTGGTTCGGCCTGTGCGATGGACAAAAAATGATGTGTTTCGGCTGAAAAAAAAACGGTCGGTATCCTTAAGGGCCTTAAGAGTTCTGGGCGAAATCACAATCCGACGACCGTAAATAACAACAGCTATTATCATTATTGTATACGATATGTCGACGGTAGGTAAATCGACCAGAAGGATCACGAGCACATACATTTCCGTGCGTTTATTATAACTATGGTGTCGGAACGACAACCTCCCTTTCCATCAGCCACCCTCGACCGTATAATGACGTGAGCGAATTTACGGTGCTCGTGTTGACACACTCTGACATTATGGTAGGTACACCTCTATTTATCGGCTTGCACAGCAAAAACCAGCGGCCGGACAAGCATCGCCCACCCGACGCAAACATGATGTTATTAAATGATATCGCAGCTAATAATTTACAACAGGAGCCGTTTCGGAATAAGACGTTATTGACCGTAACGTCCCGCACAGAAGCTTCAACATCTTCAGCAGGCAAACCGTATTATTATTATTACCATTTTGCCAGCGTCCGTTGTCATACTCGAGCACTACACGCGTCGGCGACCAGCAGACGACATGACAGAGGAACGTTTACCCGGATTACGCTTTGCGGTTTGCCATGTTAATTAGAACACAAGAGCGGCAGTAGGGGGCCAAACCGAACCGACAGTAAGTTCGGCCGAAAACTTACTCATGACCACCTCACAAAGTTTGCACGAAAAAAAAATATACACCCAAACAACAGTATGCCAATTCAAAGCGTTGCGCGACAACGAGCCACACGACTGTACAACAGAAAGTATGCACAAGTCCGTGTAAGTCAAAGTATACGCTGTATATACTCTACAGGTTAAACCCACTACAGTGGAGCTTTTTGTTCAGAAGGTTGTATGTATAGATTTCATAAAAAGATAAAATACTATTGTGAACGTTAAAAAAATAACCAACTTATTCACGTCGAACGGCAAATAACCCGACCGTATCCATTTTAAAATAATACCCAACTCGGTATCAAATCTATTTTGGTAAACGCAGCCCACTCATCAAAGTTACTATTTCATAAAAAAAATGAATGAATCAATACTTAGGCGGTATATTATATTAGAGACTATTGTTCTGTTGTTTCATTGATAAAAGCAAAGATAAGCAGCTAATACACATTGACCGTCTTCGTTATTATTATTTTTTAATATATGAGTGTCTGAGCTTGTGATAAGTCTAGTGTGTTTAATGGTCGTTTTTATTTACTATATCCTGGACGTTTTACGACTGCCTGGTAGGTATATTTTGTCCCGATAACAGTGCTGCAGCCCGCTAAGTCGACCCATTAAGCAAGTAAGCGTTTAAAAAGTTATTATACTGTTTGTGGGTGGTAAAAAAAAGTAAAACGAAGTAAAAACTTAGGCGATATAGAACTTTTTAGGCGGCAGCGCACGTTTTTATCGCACCGCCGGCTTCAGGTCCCA